TGTTAAATGTTGTACCATTATGTGCGCCCTTGCTCATTGTGTCCTGTAGAGGGCAATGTTTGTCTGCAGTGCGTCCAGGACGTGACGTCACTGACAAAACCTTGCACTAACCTGTGGCCTCTCAGATGTTGTTTGGATGTCGAATACAGAGCGGCAGCACAACCGCATCTCTCCTACCACGATATAAATAAATATGCCTAATGAAGGCTAAGAAAGCTGTCTACTACTGAGTTCTATTAAATCTCCACCGCAACGCACTCCCCCTAACACAATGAAACACAATGACTCTTGCTACTCACTTCCTTATCAATATCAATCTGTGATTACAACTCTAGTCAGATAAATGATGTATCATCCCCATTATCACTGCTGGAAGGAAGCCACAACCAGCTGCGAGCTGTCTGCTGCTGCGAGGCGGGAACAGTTCTGCGGTGACACACAGACTTGTTGGCGGACACATTCCCTGTTTACACGACGGTTATCAAAACTATGTCATAATTACATAGACATCATATGAATGTGTTCGGAACCTAATTCATCAGAGCCTAATGTTGTGGATAGTTCATAACTGTGTAACTAAACTGTCATGTTAGATTTGGTCAAACATTTTCAGTGCAGTAAAGGGTGAAACATTACAATTTGTATTTTTTTGCTGGAAAAGCAGCACATCTGAAGGAATGCTCAAACACTGTCAGCGGGATTTAATGGTCAACTTAAATCCTCACAAAAGATTCTTCAGACAACTTCTATTGTTTTGTGTGTGTGTGTCAGAGTTATTGACGGTTATAAACTGATGTGTGCTGTGCTAGTACCTGAAATTTCAGATCACTGTGAAAGGAACTGGCACATAATCAAAAACCATATTTCTCTGAGTGCAGACATCCAGCTCCAGGTGAACAACGTGCAGAGACACAGAGAATACCACACAGCTTCCTGCAGACTGTGACAGGAATGTATTCCCCTCTGGAAACAAACTGATTTTATTTCATTAGAGTTGTTGTGTGTGGTGTGTGTGTGTGTGTTGTGTGTGTGTGTGTGTGTGTGTGTGTGTGTGTGTGTGACGTGTGCGTGTGTTCCAATTCTGGAGCCCTTGCGCTGGTGTAAGGCTAAGGGCACAAGTAGTGTACCGTGTTTTTATTTAAAAGTGTGTATAGATGTTTTTAACAGCCTCACTGGAATGGAGAGCTTTGGGGGCATAATTCAGAACATTTTATTCAGTCATTAAAAGTCACAGAAATACTTGACAAATAATTTGTCTTTATCCCGAGAAAGTCTGTGCACACCATGAAACCAATAAGTAAGCTTAATATATTTTACAGTGAGTCTATTCGTTGTCCTCATATAGCAGTGGATTGAAGTGGTCACGGCACGCACACCGACAGTTCTGTAACAGAAGGCATTTTAAAACGAATTTGTGATCAATCAGTCAATAAGCTGACGGCAACCTTTACATATTATCAGTCCAGGCATTTTGTTAATGTATCAGTTTAAAGTGGAAATGTTGTGTCAGTGTGTGGGTGTGCTGAACAGGTACCAGCTGTGAGACATGCTGACACTGCATCCTCACTGAAGGTGCCCTTAGACTCTTAGGCTGATGTCAAGACTTGCCCTGCATTCTCTCTGAATGTCATATAGCTATAGGCCATGTGCCAGAGGATCGCCGTGCACACACTATCAGTGAGTGGGTAGCACACACTGATGCCATGCAATAACAGGAGAGATCTGAAACATATTTAGAGGTAAAAAACTGTGATGCCTTCCTTTTTTAAAACATTTCTTCTAAACAGCAACCTTGTGTAGCATATAACAGGAACACTTTTTAAAGATTTACAGTTATGGTACGTCCACACAGCAGCTTTAGACGAATCTTCCACCGCTTCCAAACGCTTCTCTGTCCATTGACTTTGAATGGGGATGACGTCACTTTGCCTTGCTTTTCGCCGAACTGCATTGTGGGGGAGCGAAGCGAAGATTTCCAGGATTCAAAAGTTGAGCAATGTTCAACTTTTGATGCTGAGCTGGAAGCGTCAGCCAATCAAATCACGTTTATATGCAAATCTGACAGTAGAAGCGCTATAGCAATCAAACCGCGTGTAAGCAGGGAGGAGCCAGACCGCAGTTCATTTCCTCATATTCCAAACGAGAAATTACGGTAGCAAATCACCCGGTTTCTTTCCGACCAGAACTATTAACGGGATACAAACCGGAGGAACCAGGCATGGAGGGAGGTGGGCAGAGACAGTGGGTGAAACCATGGATGTATAATAAGAAACTGGTAGGTTTTCACCTGTTTGGGGAGTTTATATATATATATATACACTGAACAAAAATATAACGCAACACTTTTGTTTTTGCTCCCATTTTTCATGAGATGAACTCAAAGATCTAAAATATTTTCTATATACACAAAATAACCATTTCTCTCAAATATTGTTCACAAATCTGAAAAAATCTGTGATAGTGAGCCACTTCTCCTTTGCCGAGATAATCCATCACACCTCACAGGTGTGGCATATTCAAGATGCTGATTAGACAGCATGATTATTGCACAGGTGTGCCTTAGGCTGGCCACAATAAAAGGCCACTCTGAAACGTGCAGTTTTGCTTTATTGGGGGGGTCTGGGGGGGTCCGAAAACCAGTCAGTATCTGGTGTGAGGGGTAGGATTAGGGTTAGGGTTAGGGGTAGGGTTAGGGTTAGGGTAATGTTGTGAATTGAGTGGCCTGTGTTCGTCGTCCATAACATACGCCTGCCCATACCATAACCCCACCACCACCATGGGCCACTCGATTCACAACATTAGCCTAACCCTACCCCTAACCCTACCGCTACCACTACCCCTCCACACCAGATACTGCCTGGTTTTCAGACCCCACCAGACCCCCCCAATAAAGCAAAACTGCACGTTTCAGAGTGGCCTTTTATTGTGGCCAGCCTAAGGCACACCTGTGCAATAATCATGCCCTGTCTAATCAGCATCTTGATATGCCACACCTGTGAGGTGGGATGGATTATCTCGGCAAAGGAGAAGTGCTCACTATCACAGATTTTTTCAGATTGTGAACAATATTTGAAGATAAATGGTTTATTTTGTGTATATAGAAAATGTTTTAGATCTTTGAGTTCATCTCATGAAAAATGGGAGCAAAAACAAAAGTGTTGTGCGTTTATATTTTTGTTCATATTGCTCGCAATAAAATCCCCGTTTTTTTTTTTGCTTTGTATGTCGGGGGCGGAGATTCATGTGATTGGTTGTTGGTCGCGTTGCTCGCAAAAACATCCCACAGCTTCAGACACGCCCAGCTCCAAGATTTTCAAGATTTTTGAAAAGCTGCTGTGGTGGACGTACCGTTAATGATAACTGAAGGCGATATCAGAGCCAGTCACACTCACACCCTGAATATCACCACCTAGGGAGAAATAAAGCTCCATCTTATCTTATCTTCATCACCACATTTTCACACAACAAATCAAAGTTATTCATTTAATTTCAGATCAGGGTTTTGTACTCTTAAGATGTTTGCTTTGATACTACTCCCCATTTCCAAAAAATACATCGGCAGATTTTCCATGAACTTCATATTCATTGTATTAAGTATACGTTATGTTAGAAATGGATGTTGGTCAAGCTCCCACACTTTTTATAAATTAACTGCAAGTACATGCAAAGAGCACATGTATCCACCCCTGTCATGGACAAACTTCAGAGTAAATACATTGTAATTACATTATAAATTACATTTTCAGAAAGCTAGATAGTCCCTTTCTCAACAATATATTTCCGTTAATGGAAAAAGTATTTGGATAATAATGAAATGATGGCAAACTATTTGTAGCCTGTCAAGGCTTGCTGACAGGGTGGACAATGGTACAAATAGTTTGCCATAATTTCATTATTACCCAAATACTTTTTCCATTAACTGAAATATATTGTTGAGAAAGGGACTAGCTTTCTGAAAATGTACATTTTATATTATTTATGGAAGGCTTGCTGACAGGGTGGACATTTTTGGCTAATATTAGCATGTAATGAGCACATGGTGGACCTTCAGTTAGCAACATGATTCAGTTAGCAAGGTGGCTGTGTAGCCTACTGTTTAACAAATATATTTCGAATTTCCTAAAGGTTTTTATATTAATTGATATTTCACTATGACAGAGTGGACATGTTAAGCTTGACAACATCCAGCTACACACATAATATGATTAACATTTCGAAATATAACTTTAAAAACATACTTTGCAACTAGCCAATGTCTCAGCCTCCATTGAGGAAAGACAAAATGGTGGTAGTAATGTCACTGAAAACATCAGAGGGTTTTTAATGGGGCAGTTACCCCTTAATGACAGGGTGGACAGCAATGTCAGGGACACATGAAACATTTTCAATATTATTATGAAAATAGAATATACATGATCAAAATGACGTTTTATCAAATAACTCGTAAAAAAAAACCATATCGTTTTATTTTTAAATGTAGTATAATTTAACCACTTATTACACACATTGTAGTTAGCAGAGCAGTGTGTGGGACATGCCTAAATCCTGTAGATCCAATGAAAAAATAAGGTACAAAATGAAAGGAAACACATTTCAAGAGACCTATCATTGTAGCCTACTGATATGTGAGTAAATGTTTGGCCTTTTATAATAAGACCTCAGAGTTTCATTATTCTGCTCTATATTCATAACTGATTGATTCTGATGGGGGACATCAAAGTTACTTTATAGTGATATTGACCCAACTACTACTACTACTGCTAATAATAATAATAATTACAATGATTATTATTATGATTATTGTTGCATTATGATATTAATATTGTTGTTGTTATAATTATTGTCATATTATTATTAATAACTTATATTCTTTCACTTCACTGATTCATTTTTACTGTCGGATTGCTCGTGTCTTACTAAAGTTGTGAGAGTTACGACAGCACCTAAATGCAGCACTGGCCGCTTGTCGTCATAATGTGTCGTAAGGGAAGTACGCTTTTCTGTGCTTTACGACACTGAATTGGGTCTCACGGTAAACATGGCGCTACACAGTAGAGCCTGCCTGAAGGAGTGAGTCGTTGAGCTGAAGACGGTTTGTTTGTGTTGGTTTCCCCTCTCCTCCCGGTCACACAGAGTCTGAGCAGCAGCGGCTCTCGCTCCGTGCGGGTTAGGCCGGGAACAGACGGGTTATGGCGGCGCAGCGCGGTGTCCTGTTCCAGGAGAAGGTCAGCCGGCTGCTCAGCAGCAGCAGCACGGCAGGACCGGTGCTGAAGCCCAACAAGCCGCTGGTCCTCAAGGACGAGGTGTCCAACCGCAGGGTCAAGAGAGGAGGTGAGGGGGGGCTGTCTGTTTCACAGCACACTTCATAACATCAGGTCATCCAGTATGGATGACATGGGACCAGGTGGACTGCACATTGTTATCATTTGTCCTGCATCCCACAAATCGAGACAATGTCCCTCATTTGATTGACAGTCGCCCATCTAACACTTGCCTCTTTGGTCTAGTTGCAAGCCCTGTAAACCAGGAAATGTTGTAAAACTGCCATTGTTGATCCTAAACATGTCAGAAGGGACTCAGCATCCTCAATGACCCCCAACACTGTCCAGATCTGCAAAGCCATTGTGTTGCTATTGTCTAGAGATGTGCTTGGTATCGTCAAAGAGAAACAATTTTTCACATAAACAATTTGTTCACAACTATCTCACATCAACCATACAACCAAAGTATGTTAATAATAAAGGGAATAAGGCACAGTGGTCATTTGCGTGATCTACTTCTTTAAAGTGTTTGTATCCTGCTGCAGAGGTCTACCGTTATGTTTGTGTAGCTGAAGGTAAAACAAGGAAACATCCTGATTATGACTTCATGTGTGTGTTTGCTCTGACTGGAGCTGCACAGTGACCATCGGACAGGGCAGGGGGCGATGGTAACTCCAGTCAGTCAAAGCTGTCTTTTTCTCCACAGGCGCGTCGTGTGTCACCGAGATCTCGGTCCTGATGGCGTGCTGGAAGCAGAACAGCTTTGTGGAGAGTGTGTGCTCTGCGGAGATGAAGGCCTTTTACAGCTGTGTGGACGAGGCAAAGGTACGTTGACCGCAGCACAAACACACAGCAAGAGGTCAGCATGTCCAAATGAAAATATGCTGAGGAATACTACAGGACCCTGAAGTCATGAGTTTTCCAATGCATCCTGGGTAATGCCACATTCACTGATGTATAACTTAAAAAGTACACACAATTATTTGTCTACAATCTAGGGCTTTTGAATATTGATAAAATATTTTCCACAACATTATTCTGGGGATTTTTTGATGGCGATGGTAAGCACTTAATTGTCAGCATTTGTGTATGGCAGCTATCTCATCAGTTCAGTCAGTCAGTCTAAGTTTTTGTCAAATGGTTTAATGTCAGCTACATGAAACTGGTGTCTGGCCTGTGGAAAGGTGTTGGTCAGCCCTTCCACTAACACTTGCATGACCCATTGAAATATCAAAGTGATCTGACCTCTCAGAGAGCATGAGCAAGCTGTGCTGCAGATGTGCAAACGTTTCCTAGGCTAGTAGTACTTATTTAACCCATTACTTAATAAAAGCACTGCTAACAGTTTTCCTCTCTCACAGGCTGCCAAGAAGAACACGTCTGAGCTGAGCGGCATGCAGGGGGAGCGTCTCCCCCCAAAACAAGCCACCCTCCTGCTGAAGAGATTCCCCAACCTGCGCACAGAGATTTAGGAAACAGACTTTAATGCATAACTCATACAGACCTGAAATGTGCAGACTAAAGAGAATGTCATGATGTTAAGGAGATGCCGACGGCTGTATGACTCAACAACAGAACTACAAATACATCTATTACATTAATAAAGGAAGGAGCTTAAGGAGATCTCATCACAAACACCAGTAGTGCGTCATGGTGCAGACTTTGTATTCACAACACACTGTGTTTTATGGTTTGAAAAATAATGTGACTTTCTCCTTGTGTCCTCATTTTGTCTCAATCCAATTTAGGCAGAGTGGACTCTCTCGGGTCAGAGATGGTATTATTCCATCTGATGCAATTCTTCTTCTTTGGTTTCTTGGCTCCTGGCTGCAGCTTACCGTTATCACTGCACATTAAAATGCCTCGTCATTCCTGTGGTTAAAAGATGTTCAAATAAAAGCACCCTGTAAACACAGATTAGCAGTAAGCAGAGCTCAGTGGGGTTGAGATGGATTTATACTGTTAATAAAATATTCTGACAAATCAGTTGTTTCTTTCCTCTTTCACAGCGGCCCACTTCCATACTCCATACAGCTTTAAAGCCTGAATTGTGTTCACAGTACAAAGTGACAAATCAAATAACTAATCATTGCTAAATATGCTTTGTGTACACTATTTTTCCCAGAATGCATTCTACAAATGGAGGAGGGCTCAGTTATTGAACTTGGTGAGAGAGCTCCAGAAATATCTTGGAGACTAATTTATGAAATCTGTAGAAAGTGTTCTCTTTCCAAAGGGACCACGTGAAGGGTGTATGTTTATCATTTCCCTTTGCAATAACAAGTGACACATTGACTGATTTGTGAAGTAGTTTAGTGAGCACAGTAGGTGTGGTCGCTTCATCTGTCCTCAGCACAGTCCCATCATAATTCTGTCAGAATAATGTTTTGTTTTTTAAAACTTCATCGGCTACATTGTTTTGCTAATGACTGCATTAGTATGTTTACAGTTTTCTTCCATTGCTAACACAAATGACACATAAATCACAATAAAATCTCCAAAACTCTCAGAGCCGGTGACACCAGCAGACTCAATAAACTGATCAGGAAAGCTGGCTCTGTCATCTGCATCAAGCTGTACCCCTTTGAAGCTGTGGTGGAGAGGAGGACACTGAACAAGCTGTTGTCCATCATGGATAACCCCACCCATCCTCTCCACCTGCAGCTGGACAGTCAGATAACCAGAGTTGGGTGTAACAATATTATCATAATACTTTTGTCGGTAACGGAGTAGTGTAACGCGTTGCTTTTATAATTCAGTAATCACACTACAGTTACTAACATTGCCCCGACACGCGTTACTTCGTTACTTTTATAAAATCTGTCATAATCACAGACAGACAAGAGGGGTTTCCGCCGCAGGTTTATATGTACGTAATCTGCGCAATTTGCTCGTCCACATCTCCACGTGCAGTGCTGCATAAACATGGCTGAGTCAGCGATAACTTTCGAGGGGTGGAGGTATGCCCATTATTTTGAGTTCGTCCGAAGAATAGACAGGAATGTGACGGTGAGGTGCAAACTGAAAACTGAAACAGAAGCTGTTATCCACGGCTGTAAACACCACGTCAAACCTCAACAAACACCTGCAAAGAACACATGCTAAGGTGAAGCTAATAGCTAAGGACCCCCCGAACCCCGAGTGAGGATGTTGTGAGTGCGCCGCCTCCGAAGAAACACAAATTAGAATTTGGAGGATCGGTAACCAAAGCAGAGATGGACAGGCTTGTAGCATCCTTCATAGTAGAGGACATGTTGCCCATTTGCACAGTGGAATCACCATCGTTCAGAGATAGACTGCGCAAAATACAGATAGCAGGAGACAGAGGACAGCCACGGTCAGATAGGAAAACATTCAGGAGCTATCTGGATCAGTCTTATGCTACAATGAAACTGAACTAACGAGAACATTTGAAACTTTAGCAGTCTGCGTGATCTGCCTGTAGGGGGCGGGCCGGCCCTGCGAGTAAAGTAACGAGTAAAGTAACGAGTAAAGTAACGAGTAACTTTATGTAGAGAGTAACGAGAGTAGTGTACTTTTTTTTAAAGTAATATGTAATTATTATTATTATTAACGACCCCATCTCTGCAGATAACCCCACCCGCCCTCTCCACCTGCAGCTGGACAGACAGATAACCCCACCCGCCCTCTCCACCTGCAGCTGGACAGACAGATAACCCCACCCGCCCTCTCCACCTGCAGCTGGACAGACAGTGGAGCTCCTTCTCCAATAGATTGCTGCAGCTCCACTGTCACAAGGACCATTATGGGGAAACATTCCTGCCCACTGCAATAACACTGTAGAACAAAGCACCTCTGGCTGGAAGATAACTCTGCTCCATAGCTTCTCTTGATAACTGGACTTAAACTCCCACTCTACATTTTTAGAGTGGGAGTGTCTTGAGTGTCTAGAGTGTCTTGCCCATCCTTGTGCCTCTTCAAGAGACTTTTGGCACCTGTGTGTGGCACCACCGGAAACAGCTGTCACACTGACTCTGCAATAGAAGGAGTGGAGACAAATGAGAGTAAAACAGCTTCGAGCAATGGTCAACTGCATCCCTGAAGTGTTTGTATTTAGTTTCTGCTTTCATTTAATGCTTTTCTACAAATCACAATTGTGAAATATCTGAAGTCTCAATATTAATTCAACCTTACCCAGTCAGTGTGGGTGTGATGTGGCATGGCACAGTTGACTTCTTTGTCAAACACTGATGAAAAAAAAATGCTAATGTTACATCTCAAGTGTCTCATTCACACCAACGGTGTTTCAGGGCCGGTTCGGAGCTGGAGCTTGAAAAGCACCAGGTTTTCCACACCGCAGCGGAGCAGCCTCTTAGCTCCGGAATCCGGTTTGTTTCAAGCACCAACATTTTTTCCGGCTAGAGCAAAAGCACCACATACGTCACGCTTACGTCGAGGCGGGGAGAGAGACAGATCAACTCCTGAACAACAACAAAAAGCCCGCGTTTTATCCAGTTTGTACACAACGATGGAGAGACTTAACAAGCAGCAGTGGTCCACTGGAGACCAAGGCCCTTTCTCATTTCATCAAATCCCCCTCCTCGACTCCTCGGTCCTCCGGTAGTGACCCGGAAATGAATTTTAGCGCGCCATGTTGAAGGACATCTCATTTCTCTGAATGCACTTCGAGGACCGAGGATCGAGCATCGAGGAGGCTCTCTGGAGGAGCTCTAACCGAGGATACACTGATGGGTCCTCCACGGTCCTCCACGGCTCCTTCGCGGATGCATTTCCGAGAACAGAGATGTTTCAAAGAGTTGTGACCAGTGTTGTGCTAGTTACTGAAAACCAGTAACTAGTTACCATTACTAGTTACTTCATTTCAAAAGTAACTCAGTTACTTTACTGATTACTTACACCAAAAAGTAATACTGTGAAAAGTAACGTTTTAGTTACTTAAAAAAAGGGCTATAATGCCCTTATAGCCTTCATTTCAGTACTGTTATTGCATTGGAGAATAATACAATCTGTTGATCAATTTGACATGCATTATATGCAATCTGGATTGCATCGATATTAGCTGGCTTTCCATTTTTGTATATTCTTTCTCCAGGTAGTTGGAAAAAGTTTCCCGTCCCATATGCCGTGTGCCGCCCGGACATGGTATCATGCTAACTAGCTCCCTGAAAGCGGGTGACTCCACTGTAACAATAGCCTGCATGTGTTCTACAACATACCGTGCAATGGCTTTATCGACTTTCCCTGGCCAGCAGTCCCTTGGTTAAAATCCAGCCGCTGTTGCTTAGGTGGAGGTGGAGTGGCGTCGGCTGAGTCTCTGTGGTCTTAGCTACTAGCTTCGTCCCAGCATGTTGTTTCTGCAGATGTTTTAAGAGATTTGAATGACTGGTTTGGGCAGTAGATAGGATCTTTGACCCGCCAGGACACAACTTACATTTAACTAAAACGTTCTTTTCTTTGTGCTCCACAAAAGTGAAATAGTGAGAATATCTCTCAGGTGGAGAAACCTTATTATACATCCATGGGAGAAACTAGACTTGAGCTCCGCCGCCGCCATGATAGTCTTGTTAGTAAACAACACAAACACGCCCACAGCCCGTCTCCGCATGTGACACAGGAAGTATCTAAGTACATTTACTCAAGTACTGTACTTAAGTACAGTTCTCATCTCTGTTCGCCTGGCTGTTGACTATATAAAAAAACTAACGCAGTAACGGAGTAACGCACCATGTAGTAACGGTAACTGAGTTACTGAATTTAAAAAGTAATGCGTTAGAGTACTAGTTACTGCCAAAAATAACAGCGTTACAGTAACGCGTTACTGTGTAACGCGTTAGTCCCAACACTGGTTGTGACGCACGGCCGGACTTATCTCAGCCAATGACAGCTCTGCATGCATCCCCTGGATATTATTTTACAAAACTAAGGCCAACAGGGTGGGTGGAGGGGGTCTGGAGGACGGGCTTGGGCTGACAGCGGAGGACCCGGAAGGGGTCTCGGGCGGACGGCCCAGGGGCAAGGCAGAGATCAAGGATGGGGTCTTGGGCGGACGCCCCGGGGGCAAGGCAAAGTTAAAAAAGGGGGACTCACGCAGACGGCCCGGGGGCAAGGCAGAGTTCAAAAAGGGGGACTCGGGCGGACGGCCCGGGGGCAAGGCAGAGTTCAGGGTGGGGCGAAGGCCAAACAGCTCCGGAGGCCGGGCAGGACCCGGTGTCGGCCGAACAGGAACCGGAGCCGGTGAGACAGGCTTCGGCAGGATCCCCCACGGAAGAGGACCAGGAGTTGGCAGCACCCCCGGCGAGACAGATGATGGCGGGACCCCCAACGGGACAGGACATAGGGTTGGCAGGACCCCCGGCAGGAGAGTAGTCAGCGGGGCCTCCAACGGGACAAGACACAGGGTTGGCAGTACCCCCGGCAGGAGAGTAGTCGGCGGGGCCTCCAACGGCACAGGACTTAGGGTTGGCAGGACCCCCGGCAGAAGCGTAGTCGGCGGGGCCTCCAACGGGACAGGTCAAAGGGTTGGCAGGATCCCCCGCAGGAGAGTAGTTGGCGGGACCTCCAACGGGACTGGACATGGAGCCGGCAGGACCCCCAGCGGAACCTCCATCGGCACAGGACATAGGGTTGGCAGGACCCCCGGCAGGAGAGTAGTCGGCGGGACCTCCAACGGGACGGGACATAGGGTTGGCAGGACCCCCGGCAGGAGAGTAGTCGGTGGGACCCCCAACGGGACAGGACAAAGGGTTAGCAGGACCCCCGGCAGGAGAGTAGTCGGTGGGACCCCCAACGGGACAGGACATAGGGTTGGCAGGACCCCCGGCAGGAGAGTAGTCGGAGGGACCCCCAACGGGACAGGACAAAGGGTTGGCAGGACCCCCAGCGGAACCTCCAACGGTACAGGACATAGGGTTGGCAGGACCCCCGGCAGAAGAGCAGTCTGCGGGACCTCCAACGGCACAGGACATGGGGTTGGCAGGACCCCCGGCAGAAGAGCAGTCTGCGGG